TTCCTCTAGGAAGCAAAGCTCATTTAAAACAAAACCACATTAGTCTTGGCAGGAAGCTTGAATTGTGACCATCGCAAGGAAGCTCCATTAATTACTGCTCCCATTGCTCTATGAAGGATCAAATGCTGTGGATCAGTTTTAATTGGCTATTGATTTCTTATGTTATTACCTACGGTTGTGCTGAGATGCCGTCAGACATATTGGATGCTTTTGATTATTCTTGCTGGCAGCTGGGATTAAAAACAGCGGGCACACACTTCCTGATCTGTAATGGATTGCCATGGTGTGCCAACAAAAATCGTTGGCAGGATGAATGGTCCTGCTCTGCCTGTCTCTTGTGCTATTGAGCTGCACTGCAGCTATGTAGTGAAGGCAAATACCCTCAGGGACTGGCTGCCAAGGAAAGCGAGGGAAAAGCTTCAAAGAACATGAGGATTTAGTGCCTACAAAAGTGAGTAACTGTCAGCAGCAAAGCAGGGTGAGTCAGAGTGCAAGGAGTGGTTGAGCATGGACAAAGCATCAACCCCACCAGACAGCAACCCAAGGAAAGGCAGATCAGGTTGCTTCTGCATCGCTGGGGATAAGCCCCTGACATGTCAATCACAGGGATGCCATGTGAGCAAAAACAAGCGGGACTGCGCACATACACAATGACAGTGCTGCACACAACAACCTGCTTATGTCCTTCCTGAGCCACATTTCTCCCTTGGAGCAGGCTTGGTGATTTTCTAAGCCTAGGCTGTGACATGCTCTCATTAGCTGGCAGAGTCACTCCTTGTTTAACAGGAGATTGTTTCCTGTCCTCCTGACCCCAAATGACACTTTAATCTACAAACACCAACTTTCTCTAATTGCACCTTGACAGAAAGAGAGACAAACCCCTCCTTCCCCCTCCGAGGACTGTCATTTAATTAACAGGCAGGTATCTCTCAGGATTTACAGCCCAGCTATAAGCTGCCAATCTCTCTAGTCAGTAGCTCAGGCTCACTCCACTTATCTTTACATTTCAATACCTGCATTTCTGCTAATCCCTCTTTAGGCCAGGTTTCTGGATTTACCTCACAGAGACCTGTGGAGAGAGCAGTTAATCAAATGAACTGCCCCACCTCGCTTCTCATTCACCTCCTGGCCATGGATCTCAACGCTCTTATGTTGTGGATGGCTTCATAGCAGAGCAATACTTATGCTGGCACTGTTGCCAGTTTCTGGTTTAATTCAGCTCTCATGTCTGTCCTGTAGTCATGATAAGATGTAGCACACATAAAAGAGAGAGAGAGAGATCAGAGCGAAAGACATTAGGGCTGGCTGGATATCAAGAAGCATTTAGTCTGTTCCTCCTTCACAAACTGGGATCATCTCTCTGCAACCTGTTCTTGACATATGTTTTTCTAACAGGTTCTTTAAAATTTCCAGTATTGGAGACTCCTGCAAATTCCAAGCAATCCTTTTCCAAGCATCCTGCCTTCCTGTTAGATATCTGAGAACAAAGGGGAGAACAATGCGGAAAGACCATCTTGCACATCTTGCCCAGATGGATACAACTTCTGGCGCACAGGGCCATGCCTTCTGTCTTGCTGGTTTTGAGGAGCAGATTCATTTTATTTTGGTTGTGTTTTTTGTTTCTATTGGTGGGTGCAGGGGCAGTAAATGATATCTGTCCATTAAGCTGTCTTTGCTGAGCATGCTGGGATCTAGTGGAGTCCAAAGAAAGCTTGTGTATTACTGCATGCGAGTGCCTGAGTCAAACCCTCTGAATTTGAATGCATGGTTCAGTAGTCTCTGGGTTAGTGCTTTCCTTTGAAAGCTCAGTTTGGAGTAGATCAGACAGTTTCAGAGCATGTGCATGCAACTCAAGTGAGGATAATAATCCTCAAATGATTGGTGTGAATCCCAATTTCCATGTGCCAATTGTTCTCCTGGACAAAAGTCACTCAATGACTACCCAATGGACTTGAGAAATAGAAGAACAACCAAAGTGGACACAGGCAGGAAGTGCCAAGGGACTCTGCTTCAGCACATCTGCTCACATGGAAATCATAGAATTAGAGTTTGAGCTGGGAGGGGCCATCTAGTCCAACTTCCCTGCAATGACCAGGGACACCTACAGCTGGATCAGGTTGCTCAGAGTCTTCCTTGCCTTTCAAACCTCGACTCGTCTGCCAGTGGAAGCAAAACTCAGGATCAAACTATGGAAGGAGCAATTGGAATACACACAATTAGTGTAGGACCTACACAATAGCATCTGGAAGGTAAGGCTGTGAGTGTTATGTTAGCTGGAAAAAAAAAAACAACAAATCTAACAGGACTGAGTGCATCTAAATGTCCTGCTCTTTCCCCATCACTGAGCATTTCTTAGTGCCTTGTTTTTTTTGTACCTGTCCACAGGCTGGAAAGCAAAAGGAGAAGAGGGCTGGGCTGTGGAGGAGGAGTTATAAAAATGCACAGACTGCACGCTGGTATTTCTATAACTGTTGTCACTACAATTATCTATGAGAGGTTTTATCCTGAACTTGCAGAAGTGAAAAAGCCGGGGAGGAGTAACACCAGGCTTCAGGCAGTCAGGAGCAGAACTCTGAGTCTCTGGAGCCAGTTTTGCCCAGCTGTGATCAAAGACATTGCATGGGGCTACGAGGCCTGGGAGAAGGACAAAAGATTGGAAGTAGCCATTCTGCACCAAGGAACTCAACGTGAATCTTTTAGAGAGCTGCCATTGCTGCATCCATCACAGTCAAGGAAAGCTGCAATGAATGAGGAGTCCATAGAGTCATAGAACTGTATAAGTTGGAAGGTACCCTTAAAGACCATCTGGTCCTACCCCCTGCAGTGAGCAGGGACACCTACAGCTCCATCAGTGCTCAGAGCCCCTCCAGCCTGACCCTGAGTGTCTGCAAGGATGGGGCATCTACCACCTCTCTGGGCAACCTGTGCCAGTGCTTCACTACTCTTACTGTAAAAAAATTCTTCCTTATATCCAATCTAAATCAATTAAACAACTGGGATTGCAAAGGCCACAACACAAGCACATTTTAACACTGGTGCTGACTGCATGCACATATCAGCTTTTCCAGAGAAATGTATGAAATGTACACAAAAGGCTCTCACGGTACAAAACATCATCTCCCCTGGCTGATCATGGGTGGGCTGCCTGAAAGCGCAGCAGACACAACACGACTGGAGCCAGCCGTGGGTGGGTACTGCTCTGAGGTGCTGGGCAAGAGAAAACATACACATCAAGGCACTGCATTGTAGTGCTTCCCACTTGCTTTTGAGTTTGTGGGAAAAACAGCATGTCTGGCTCACCAGGGCTGCCAGCCGTGCAGGGAGGGCTGCAAGGCAAGGGGCTGCTCTCAGCTGCAGCTCTGAAGTATTCCTGGGAATGGGATGGCCCCTTGCTCTCTGACTGGAAAAATCAAAGCTCACAGCTTGGGGCAGTGTGCTTAGTGGTGACATCAGTAGAGAGGCAAAGGAATATTTTTTTACCCCCTACAGAAGACAGAGAAGAAAAATAAAGGCCAGATCCTTTAAAAAAAAAAAAAAAAAAAAAAAAAAAAAGGAAAAAAAAAGAAGAAGAAGAAGCAAAACCCCTCAAAGATGAATCTTTCCACCCAGCTCCCTTTCAGTTCCTAGCTGGCATAGCTTGTTCTCTGCCATGTGGGAGGATTTAGCATCTATTGACAGATGAGCTAATCAGTTCCCCTCAGCTCTTGAAGCTTTATCAAAGCCAGTTAATCATATTACTGACGTCTGCCCATGCCAAGGCTCTCCACTTCTGTCCTCCGACAACAAGGTGACACGTGTGCATGCCACATGCACAGAGAGATCACTTTTTTCCACTTCCAATCACACCAACAAGAAAATGTCACCAGGGCTGCCTGTCTCTCGTTCACCCTCCTTGGCCACTTCTTGTTGCTGTAGATCTGTGGCAGCTCACAGTGGAGCAGATCAGGCTCACACTCATATCTTGTCAGCACAGGGATGGCAACAGTGGGAAAAACTGGTCTGGGTTTCGGCTGTCCTGTCCTGGAAGGTTCTGATGCCAATCTGAACCCAGACCAGGGCTTGTTGCCATTACCTCTCTCCCGAGGCCTGGTTTGTGTTACTTCCCTATCCCAATTTCACTAACTGCGATACAGACTGTACTGCTCTTCCTGAAGGCTGGCCGGGGGCTGTGCTCCTTTCCTCAGGAATGGTTCTACTCACACTAACACTAATGCACCAAGCCAAGAGTACTGCCTTGTCCTATTTTTTTTTTTTTTTTCTGGGAAACTCATTCTGCATTTATACCAATAATGTAAGAAAACAGGTATGGGAAGCCTTCTGGAATGCTCTTTGCTTCCCAGCAAGGTCACTTGAATTCATGTTATCCGGTGGCCTGTGCTTGGATGGAAATTCATCTTCAATTGGAGATCGTTGGTATTTACTTGACTGTTTTGGTATCTACCACTGTTTCATGGCCTGGCTGGTAAGTGCCTCTGCCCACAGGTATTGTCAGCCATGTCCTCTTACTCAGGCTGCCTGCGGGGAGAGAAACCTTGCTCTGAACCCACCACCCTCCCACAGCTCCCTGCACAGCCATGCACGTGGAGAGTGTGGTTCTGCAAGGTGCAAACCAGAGCATGCCATGGTCAAACACAGGGCAGTCCCTGTATCAGTCCCTGTATCAGCTATTCCAGAAAGGCAGGTGTTTCCTCCCCAGTGTTAATCAATACTTGCCAGCCTCCCCCAGACCTCCCTGCCCTCTTCTTGCTTTGAAGAGAGATTTGTTTCTCTCCGGGCTTGCTGCAAGTCCCTCTGCCAGCCCAGCCAAAGAGATTCTCCAGGGCTACAGAGACTGGCAGAGAGCACTGTAGAAAAGATGTCAAAAAAAGCAAAGAAGGGAAAGAACAGAGGAGGTTCAATCCAAGAACAACAGAGCCTCTCCACACCATCTCTTACTCCTCTCTGCAGATGAGTGGGCAGTTGGCAACCCTGGCCGTGTGCTGTGAGAGGTGTTCACCCACCTATACAGACAATGTCCATGAAGCCATACATTCCATAGCAGATCTGGAAGAGCAGGTCCTGGCGCTGCCATTTGGCTGAAGGACTGAAGGTCGACCAGATGAGCCACGAGATACTGGCGATGAGGAAGAGGGAACCCAGGATGGCCGCTGCTATCTGAACCTTCTCAATGACTGTCAGGGAGATGGCCTGCCACTGCAAGGGATGGCAAGAGGGACAGGAAGGGAGACAAGGGAAGGGAGGAGAGAAAAAGAGGAGAAAGTAATTACATGATGGACATTGCTATTTTGCTTCATTGTGGTGATTCGTGGAAATCCCATAGATCACCTATGCCTCATATATGTGCACCCTGCACATAGACGCTTTTACCTGGTCCACCTTGTGGCTGGAGATAAACCTGGCCATCACAAACCAGGACGCTGTCTCAAATGGAAGCCAGGCAGCAGCCTTGGTGATGGCATCCTTTTACCACAAGATTTGTCTCAGACAGCCATGCTTTGCCTTGCAGGTCTCCTGTGAGCAGGCTCCGTGATGCTTGGTGAGATGTGACAGAACCGCAGTACATAAGATCTCATGGAAGCAATACACAACCCACAAAATGTTACCAACGATGAAAGTTGCTGCTGCCAGGACTCCCTGCCTTTAGGTGATGACATGTTCAGGCTGTTTACTAAGGTAAAAGGCAGTGCTTCTTTCTCAGAAGAGGAAAAAAATAGTACTAACTCCCTCAAATCCATTTGCTTTGTCAAATAGCTTTGTATAAGCTACATTATGAATATCCAAAGCCTGAACTCCTCTCTGTCATCCAGAATAAAACCTCCTTACTCAGATTTATGCTACTGAGAGAACTGTCCTGTAAAAACCAAGAGCAGAAATTGCTTTTTCTAACAAGACCTGGGGGGACATGGCCCACAGTGCCTCCTGCAAATCAGAAATCAAATGCGTAAACAGGCTGGGAGAGATGGAAATATATAGGCCACCTTTAGCTGTGAGATACATACCCTTGAAATCTCAATAGGGCTGGTAGAAAGATAAATAAAGGGGGACTTCAACCTCCTCCAAGTGAAGAGGATTCAGAGGGATTGAACATTTTAGCCTGGATTTGTGCCAAATTCAATGTCCAAGTGAGGTGTCAGCTCTAGAGAGCCCCGAGCACCCTGCCTCTTTGTCAAACACATCCTGGGACACCACTGGTCATCTGTCAAGCCTCATCACCTTATTTTGTATGGCAAGAAAGCAGTTTGCTCTTTAATGTCCAGACCTGATAGAGGTCACCAACATTTTTAGGATGCAGGGAGAACTTTGCCCCTTGCTCAAAGGGCAGTAAGGTGACTTGTGCTGCACTGTTACCGTTCCAGTTACCAGACTCCTGAACTGCATGCAGTCCCCTGCAAAGTGCTGCTTTGGAAAAGGTTGCATCTGGAAGGTGATCGCATGCCTTGGCTCAGAGGTGAGCTGAAGTGTCTGCCTCTGCTAGCTTTGGTCTTTGGCTTATGTCCTGCAAGGGCAGACAGCCCTCAAGTTGTGTGTCAGGGATGTGCAGCTTCTCTGAGGTGATGGTATCAGCCTGATTCATAGATGACCACGGAGTAGATAGATGACTGCAAAGCTTCTGAGAAGAGACAGAGGCTGTTCCATGCTGAGGCAGTCCTCTACCCTTCCACTAAGAGTGGCAAATGCTGAAGGGATGGGGGTGCAGGGAGCCTTTCCTAGAGCTGCGTGCTATGGTTTTACTGCAGGTTCCTCACATTGACCCGCCGGTGCCAGCAAAATCATTCTGCATCATTTCTCTCTCTCAAGGAGGTAATGGGCTGGCTCCTCACCATCTGTCTGGCACACTGCAAGGCTTGTGGCAGCAACAGGTCCTTCCAAGGTAGCAATTAAAGAGAGAAAAAGGAGGAGATGTTTCCTACAGCTAGCAGCTGCGTGCAACTGCTTTACAGAGACAGGGAGGCATCAGCGTGATTTTAAATACATTATACTTTCAAAGGAGATGTGGCTCAGGGCAGAGAAGCTACACCTGTGTAACAGCTTCAAACCTGCCTTTGGATGAGAGCAGAGATGCTGCAACACTGACAGGGCTGCTGCCTGGTGCTGGTGGTAACAAAGCAACCCTGACTGTTCAGGGGGTTGCCTTTTGGGGGCAATTATTCACAGGTCAGAGCTGAATGCTGGGGAAAACAACCAGCTCACACAAGAATTTCATTTTTTCCTAATCTCTCTCCATCATCAGTAAGGCCAGCAAACCAGGGATTTAGAGGGTGAAGTGTCACATGTGAACTGTTGAGTGCAGTGAGCTGCTGGCCTGTACTGAAGCATACCTTTAACAACAGAAAGCTGACTCACATTGTCAATCGAGACTGAGTTTGGGCAGGTAGAAAGCCCTGTAGATGGTGTGCCGCTGCTGAACGGGGTGTAACTTGGAAATACCAGGAAGCATTACAGGCTTCTGTGGGATAACAGAAACAGCTTTTGAGTGCTGGGCTCACAGAGGCCACAAAGAGAGCTGAAGCAGCTCTCTGCAATGGCTTTGGCAACCACACTGGAAAAAGGGCTCTTTTTCTGCAGACTACTTTGAAGATTCATAGAATCACAGAATGCCTTGGGTTGAAAAGGACCTCACGGATCATCCAGTTCCAACCCCCTGCTGTGGGCTGGTTGCCTCCCACCAGCTCAGGCTGCTCAGGGCTCCATCCAACCTGGCCTCGAGCACCTCCAGAGATGGGGCACCACAGCCTGTGCCTTGCCTCACCACCTTAAATGTCCTAATTCATTCAGGTGTTCTTTGTCACCATTCTCCCCATCTGACCACTTTGGCACAACACCCAGATGTTCATGTGCAAAACACCATACTCTCTTGGATGAATTTCCCCCAACCTTCTTCAATTTCCCCAAAGTTCTGTGCACCAGATGCCTCAGAAAAGGTTCTTAGGAGCCCAAGTCTGACATCTGCAATGATCATAGGTAGAGATGAATCTAGGACTGGTGCTTTCCCATCGTATCCCATTTGATGTGATCTGTGGTTTGTACCTGGGGCAAGAACATTCCCCTGTTTGCTTCAGTGCTTCTCTCAGAGCCTTGTAACCAAAGCCCCTGCTGCTAATATAACAAAAATTAATAGTCACTAGTCTAGTATTTAGGGTCTGATCCGTATTTCCCTTTCTTTAACACCAGCAGTCTCCAAAGATTCACAAGCATGAGCACGAGCAGATCCAAGGCACGTATTTGCCTGCAGAAGATATCTCTGTCTTAGTGCAGCAGCTTGCTAAGAAGCCTTGCTTGCTAGAAAAGCCTTCCTACACTCCTCTGAGAGCTCTCCCATGCCTGCCTCAGGCAGTTCAGTTTATTTTTATTGCTATATCTGACACGTCCCCTTAGTACGTATCATTAACATCCTGAGTGTGCTACTCAGCAATTTTGTTTCAAACCCAGCATCCCAAACAAGTGGAGGTTTATCCTAGAAGGATGCAGTGGAGCATTCCCATCACTGCTTGGGTCTGGCTCTCTCCTCACTGCTGTCCTGAGGCCTTGGCTATCCACCTTGATTATCTTTAGGAGAGTAGACTTACCAAGCAAATTTGTCCTAAAGCTGTGGTAGCTTCCCTGCTGTACACTTACAGATGCTTTGGTTTATTCAGATGCAAGAAAGAGAGCAGGGAGAAGGAGGGGCCATTCCCAAAGCACTGGAGAGAACCGAGACCACATTCCAACCCCAGCATTCCATAACTGAGGGCCTTTGGATATGAAGAGGCAGGGAAAGGAATGTGATGCAGAGTTGGACTCCTTGAGACTGCAAACAGCAGTAGGTCTGGGAAGGCTAGTTCAAACTGATCTGGTATTTGCTGAAATCAGAGCATCCGAATGAACGTGGCATAGGAGTGGCTACAAAGCTGTATACATGAAACCCACTGCAGAGCCCTGTCATAGCAAGTGCTATTGCATGCTTCCAAAACTGTGTTTTCAGGGTCTCATTAAAATCATAGGCTTTGCACAAACACAGCAGAGCTTTTAGACTCTCTGTGCCCATATCTCCTGCCTCAGGGACCAGCAGAATTACAGCGGGGGACGGATGGACAAAGGCTGCGCACCTCCTGATTGCTCATAGTGGGTGGGAAATTTTTGCTCATTTGCTGCTGCTTGCCAGAACACTTGCCATGTTCTCCAACAACTTTAATTCTCCAATCTCAGCAGTGTTGCTGCTTTAAGTCTTTTGCTTTAAAATTTCAGCCATCCAGGGCTGAGGGGTTAATTTATAGAAATTCTTTATATCAAAATGCCAGACTGAAGGCTCCTCTCTGCTATGAGACATCATAACAGCCTGGAGGCTTGAAGGAATCTGTGTTAATTATGTATGAACCACGTTCCCCTGACTGCAACTTCTCTGCCCACACCATGCACATCTGGCCCATGCCATACTCCTAGGCTCGCTAGAAAATGTGCAGCATGTGTCCAAATGGGCAGAGAAATAGGCAGATCCTGGGGGGCGTGTGGGTGTTGGGTGTACTGCCTGGCTCTGACCAACTGGAGCGCAGCCATGCTCTGAGCTTCATCTGAACATCCTTCACTTGACGAGGAGGTGAGTTCTATGTGGTCTTTGCCCATATGATGGTTGGTCTGGAATAAAGGGACGTCCCTGCCTTCCAAAGTCTGTGCTTGAGAAATTCAGAGCTTTCTAGAAAGAATAAAGCTGGGTAGAAAATGGTAGAAACAGACCCTGAGAAGAAAAGCCAGGAATTAATGGCTTTGCTAAGAGACATATCACTATGTCCAGGGGCCCCTGCTGACCACATGCAGGGTGAAGACTGAGCAGAAAAGACACACTTCCCACCCAGTCACAATGTGGCATGTTTTTATGGCACATAGTACCAGAGCATCACAGCCTCTCTGCCTTCCTTTTCCAGCACTGGAGAATGGCAAGAAAAACCAAGGAGCACAGAGGTGTGCATGGTGATAGGCTACAGGTCTCACATCCCTTAGTCCTCTTGGGAACTCCAGGCTTCATAAATGACCCACATCCCTCAGGATTTCACATGCTGTGCTGGTGTAACACCTGCTTCCCAGCCGTGCCTTTGTGCTGACATCAGGCAGGACACTGGGGCACACAGCTGCAGCTCTGCACGTGCAGCATTTGTTCCAGATCAAGTGGCTTTTCACTCCAGTTGCTTCTTCCCACCCTCTGCTGATCCATATCTCCCATATTTCTGCGAGAGGCACTGTGAAGTCCCTGCTAGCAGTGAGAAGCCCTCAGAACACAGTCCCCCAGGAACCTTGCTCACGGAGCAGAGATGTCTATCTAGCTCTCTGGCTTGGCTGCCCCTGGCAGTCAGTTTTCATGTTTGTGGCAAAGGTCACTTTCTAACAGGGGAGACAAAAAAAGTGATCCTTCGGGCAGGCATTTGAAATGTGTTTACGGGATGAGAGCTCATTTGTGAATTGCTTCAAGAAATTTTAGCCAAGTGAGGAGTCATAGGAATGTCCTGAGTTGCCCTGAACCGTATGGGGATGAAGAGAACGTGGAGGTCATTCGTTAAAGGCTGGCTACACACATATTGCAAATCTGCACCCACAAGCCTTTGACACTGCTCAGCATCGTTCCATCAACCTGAGGCTCATGAAGTATTCGGGCACTTATGGACCAGCTTTCCAGAAATAAACAAATGCTGCTCTGTCCACATATCCCCTGCTGTGTTTCAATCTGGACTGATTTAGTGGAGCCAAGAATCTCAAACACTCTGGGTCTTAGGCTTGGGATGGAACTACTGTTCTCTCCAGGCCATAGCACAGGGAAAATTGAATTAGAAGCTGCAGGGACTTGCAGAGAGTAGGGATGCTTCTTCCTTCCCCCCAGTAAAATTTCCTCATGATGCCTCACTAATTTTGCTACTTCATTTCAACCTGGAGTCCTAAGGGCCGTGCCTCTTTCTCCACTATTTTTAGTGACCTCGGGCATGAAGAAGGACACACACAGAATCACAGAATCTTAGAATCACAGAATGGCTGAGGTTGGAAGGGATCTTAAAGATCTTCCAGTTCCAACCCCCTTCCATGGGAAAGGTTACCACCCATTGGAAAGGATGACCAGGGTCCCATCCAACCTAGCCTTGAACACAGGCAGCCATTTGGAGGAGAGAACAGGGATTTGCATCCCCCGAGTGCTGTACAATTGGGTACCATCACAGGCAAAGGGTTTGCCTCCTGTTAGAAACAGAGAGATGAACAGAGAGCCAATGCAACCAAGTGCTGGACAGATCAACATTCACACAAGCGTCCTGGTGTCTGAGCACAGCATGCTGCTGCAATGTCTTTCCCTCCACATGATGCTAATTAAGCAGTAGTGCCTGGGTCTAATGTGTTTCCTTATGTCTGAGGCACTAATGGTGCTCAGCAATTAGTCCATCTTCAGGTGTTGCTCCAGCAATAAATCAATAGCTATTAAGGATAAATTATCCCATTTTTAACAGTCAGACAGCTTTCTCCATTCTAAATCTTGATTTTAAATTACTAGCCTGCAGTGGGGTTTAATAAACCGCAGCGCTTTTGAACTCACAAGAGGAAAAAGGAAGGTCCTCTGCTGCCTTCCACAGGTACTTACATTTGGATGTGCTCTACCTGTTGTGTGCACACCTGCACACTGAGAATTAAGCCTGGAGAGACCAGAGTACCAGAGCAACCACCTCCAGTGCTGTGCCAGGCTATACTAGGACACAGGGAGCAGTGAAATGAAAAAGGTATCAAGGTCGGAGAGGAGAGACAGAAAGAGCAGGGCCTGAGGGATGCCCCAGCACCACCAGTGAGGGCATGGGGCTCATTGGAGCAGCCCTACAGCCCTTCCTAGGGACCATCGTACAGGGAGGCAAAACCCGTGCCAGTAAAATCTACTTGCTCCCAGAAACAGAGGACCGAGAATAAATAGACTTTGAAATGTCTCTAGTACCTTTACCTGCAGAGGGTTCTTTGTGCTTATGGCAATGACGTGGTACTTGTAGTAACACAGCTCACAGCTCCAGCAGCCTCTCTCGCTAATCCATTTGATCAGACATGGCTGGTGCGTGCATTTCACCGATCCGTCGCATCGACACGGGCTCAGCAACTCCCCCTGGAAAAGAGAGATAGCACCATGAGGCTCCCTCCTCCCGCAGGGCACAGCAAGGAGGTCCTGCACAGACCTGGTGCTGGCCAAAGTGCGCCTTCCACCACCCCTTTGCTCTTTGCCCCTTTTCACTTGGTTTGGCTTAGGTAATCGTGTTACCTCCCTGAGGATGCTGGACATAGCAGAAGACATCCACATCCCATCTGCCTTGGATCGGGAGGCCAGATCCTGCTCCTCCTAAGCCTGGGGGAAAACTGCCTTAGGTTTCAGGGCATCACATCAGAGCTGAAAGCCCGAGGAAGTGAGAGCCATGCTGGGCAAGAGTGATACTTTTTTTTATGAAATCTAATGCAAACACATTAATCATTTCATTTGCTTCAGCTAGGTGACCTAAAAATGTCATCTTCCATGAAATTTCAGCACAACTGTAAATAACTGTTTATGCTACAAAACCAGGCTCAGCCCTACCTGTCAGCCACTTCCATTGCACACTGGAGAGGACACAATGAGAGGGGATCAAGAAAGGCTTTAGAATCCCCAAACTTTTTTAGGGCAAGCATCAGGACGGTATCCCACACACCAGGATCTCTGCAGGGCTCCACAGCGTAACTGCGGTTTGGCTTAACAGGCGGCTGGAGGCAGCAGGGATGGATGGGATGGAGCAGAAGCCAACAGTGACAACCTTTGTTAGGTCTCCTTGGTCTGCATAGTAAATGGGTCTATGAAATTCCAGCTGCTCAGAGCCAAGAGATGTCCACAGACATCCTACACAGCAGTGGAGACCTGGTCCTGGTCCAACCTGATCCTCTAACATCACACTGCTGCAACCCAGACAGCCCTGCTGCCCTTCGCCAGAGCTCAGGGCTGGAACACAGAGATGAAACCCACAGTTTTTGGGCTTTTGCAAATCCAGCAAAACTGTGATTTATCACATTTCCTCCAGCCATGTGAAGTATGATATCCTTGCATGTGGCACACAGCTATTTTTGCATACCGTGAAGCCCAATTCTGTCCACAGCAGGCATTCATAAAACACTGCCACACGCACACTTGCGCACACGTGCTCGTGTACCAACAGAAAAAATAAACACTAGGGGCATATTAAAGGCATAAATCCTTTGTATGCAAAGGAGAAGGAGCTTTGTCACTGGCTGTACAGTTTGCTCAGGAACAGTCCCTCAGCTGTGCCCTGAGAAATGGAAGTTAAACTCCATGGCCATTTCTGTAGGTTTGTAGTAGATAGCTCTGCACAACTTGCTCTTCAGTGCCCCAGAGAACAGCGTTCCCACCAATGCTCTTTGTCACTGCTCTACAAAGATGCTCTGGATGGAGAAAAAGCTTCAGAAAGAGTGGTGAGGCACTGCAACAGCCTGCCCAGCGAGATGGTGGGAGTGGGCTCAAGGTTGGACTAGATCATAGAATCACAGAATCACAGAATCACAGAATCATAGAATCAGAGACAGATTAGGATTGAAAGGAAGCTCAGAGATCCTCTACTTCCAATCTCCTTGCCATGGCAGGGTTGATCTTAGTGGTCTTTTCCAACCTTAATGATTCTATGATTCTGTACTGTCCCCCTGGAACAACCTGCTTTGTTTCCTGTCTAAAATAGGAGCTTGTCTTCAGGAGCAGCAAGGCCAGGCCAGGCTGACCTGGCTTTACTGCAGGAGGAGCATGCTGCTGGAGATGGACTGAAGCTGCTCCCACTCAGTGCCCATTGCAGTACATCAGCGCAATTAAGGATTGCCTATTTTCAGCCTGCTGGGAAGACTTCTGAGAAAGGATGGGAAAAACACTGTTGCTAGTGCATGCTTCTAAAGGTTGGTATATTCAGAGAGAAAATACTGACATCAGGATCAGCATCAGCACTTCTGCATACTGATGTCAGTGTGTTGCCCTGGCCATTTTATTTATCATTTACCAGTGCTGGGAGCCCATCCACATCCACAGGCTGCTTCCAAAGCTGTGACGGCTCACACATCAGCTGAAGGGCATAGGGGTGGGGACAGTTGTGTCATTTGACCAGGATGAGGTCTCTGGGCTCTCCCAGCCCCAGCTGTCCCAAGCTGCTCCTGGGAGCTGGGAAGAGCCACATGCACACATCCTGCCACCCCAGCTGCCAGAATATTTTCCTATTTTGGAAACAGCTTACTAACCAGGATGGCTGTTAGTAATGCTTCCTCAGCTGAGCATTTTCCTTGCTCAGGTGTAACAAGAAGGACCAATTGTTGGCATTGCCTGCATGATCAGTGCACTAGAACAGAGCTTATCCCTCCAGATAAGCACAAGTAGCATCCAGTACTCATAGGAGCAGCTGCATGCATGGACCTGACTGCTAGCATTTGTCTGAGTTTGTCTTGTTTGCAAAAGGAAACCAGGAATATTTAATTTTGGGTCTTCAACCGAGTCTTCTAAATACACTTAACTTCACATTGAATTTAAATGCAATGGGAAGTTTTATTATGGCAAATAAATGCCAAATGATTTCTATATTAGGAACATAATTACAGAGGAATTAACTCTGATGGCAAAGAGAAACCCATTGTTAACAGAGCTGGTAAACTCCAATAAATATGTGCTAATGATCTTTCTGTCTTCACACTCACTTACAGGAACCTCCATCCTTTCAAACCTAAATACATGCGTTGCTACCAGCAACTTGAATGCTTTCTGTGCATCCCCTCCTGCGTGTGAGTGCTGTGCCAGCCAGCAACAGACAACAGGGGACACTTAATAGCTACCTCTGAAGAACTGAAGCCACATGTTTCCATTGTGCTTTTTCTCTCAGCCATTACTGTGTGCACTGCATGAAATTCTCCAGCACTCTGGGACGCTGATGCTAAGCATGGACCCCACAAAGCTTATGTATCCCAGATGCTGGGACATCACTGGGAACAGTCACAGATGGGTGGCATCTGCCCAGGCCCCAAAAATGGCCCTCAGCCCCACCATTGGGTCCATATGTCCCAAATGGTCCCCAGCACCATCACTGGCTCTATAAGCTATGGGAGACTTGCCCTAAAGGCAGACCAGGTGTCTCTTATCATCAATTTCTTTTTAAAGTAGTTCAAAGGAGCAGAAAACACATTTTCCCAAGATGCAGAGGATTGCAGGTTATTTTTTGTGCAATGGGCTCTGGAGGATGTTAGCACCTCAGTTAAGGCAGAGAATAATTCAAGCCCCATTCAGCTATGAAATGGGATCAGTGGGAATGCTAAGGGCTGGTTCTGCTTTGGGGCAATCCCTGTTGAAGAAAGGAAATGCTGGGTCACCTCCATTGCTGGAAATTGAAGTCAGATGTGAATTTTTGAGTAAGACAATGTCATTCTCAGGGCAGCCTCATGCACATACCTCCATCCGGTTCCCACCTGCAAGCAGCCCCACCATCCTGCTTCCCCAGCACCAGGAGGCAGGCAAAGGGTCATGGAAATCTGTTCCACAAGAACAACCTCAAACTTTGCCTGAAATAGGGGATAATAAAGGATTTTCAGGAATGACATCTACTTATCTACAGCCCAAGAAGCAGAGAGCTTATAGAGCACATTGGGAATTATTTGCTTCTCCATCTAAAGAAGGATTTCCACAAGATAAATAACTTTGCCTAGGTGTTCTGGAGCCCACTTCATCCTAATGTCATTGAACTTGTTTTTGATTAGCTGATTTAAGTAATTCTTACTAAATGTTGCTCAGTTGCAAGGAATCAAAAGGCAAGCATCTCAAATATCACCTGCTGTGCCTCATCAGGTGTGATAATAGCACCGATTAAGTGAAGTGCCTTCAATGCAGAGAAATCACAGTGCTGCGCATGTGGAATCAAGATACCTGAATACTTCTGAGCTCTCTTGGGCGTGAGAGTGAGTTCAGCTCCAGACTTGAGCTGAATACAGATTGGGAGCTGTCTCAGCATCAAGAAGAGGTCTCCTAGTCTATAGCTCCTGGGCTTTCACCCAGTGCATACTGAGGCTTTAAACTTCTGGAGATTTGCCGTGGACTGTGTCCATTTTGTGAGATGGAATGATCTCGTCTCTTCTGAAAGAGAAATTCACTGTTGTTTCACTCCGCTTCTTCTAATTAAAAAACAAAGTATTTTCGACAATACTTAGATTTACTCTATATGAGACAGAATAGTGAGCTAAGCTCTGTTCCCATGGATGCTGGGGATAAATCTGATGTGACTCCATGGAGCCAAACAGCTCTTCAGCTCAAATCAAGTGCCCTTAAGTTATGGCTTGTACCAAGTGAAGAGGTTTTCCATTAATTTTTTTATACAATTGCCTTTTTTTTTTTCCTAGTGAAAAAGCCTCAGCTAAATAGAATTTTTCTAAATTTACCATATATTTTTCTTGGAAAAAAAAAGATACCAATTATTGCATATTGTATCTAATCCATTGGGACCTTCACCTTTCTACTTCTTCAATCCTCATTGGATCCATCAGTGCGTATTTTAAAAGTATAAAGTTAATGCTTTCAGCATGCGAGTACCATATAATGCAACTCTTCTCAGAGATGTGCTCATAATTCAGCAAATTGAACTTTCCCTGAGAAGCTGTTCATAAAGATACCCAGCTAATGGCCATTTCAGACAACATTATGCCATCAACCGCTAAGAAGCAGCCATGGAAAATCCACAGAAATGGACGCTGGTTAGATTCTCCAGATGATAGATCCCATTTTCAAAGACAGTGAAACAAACAGCAGTAGACCTTTTGGTGGTTTTTTTTTTCTTTTTTTTTTCTTTTCTTTTTTTCCCAGAAAAAAGCCTCTGGCATGACAGCTGAGAGAATCTCTATTCTGCAATATTTGCCCCTGTTCGACATTATCAACCTTGAGTGGCTCCCATGCAGGCAGAGGGCAGCATTAGCAGGGAACCAGAGGGTCTGCATGCACTTTAATTGGAGCCCAGTAACAATGCGAAGACAGAAGTCTAGAGCATCTTCCCAGTGTTCCCAGCATCTCTCATCTGGGAACTGGCCTGTGTTGCACCCACAGGTATGCTGGTATAAGGA